CAGTGATAGCCTGAGCCTGAGCTCTGTGCTGTAGGAGCAAACAACTGCTGCTCTGTAGTGTCTCCAAGATGGAAATTGCTCCCTGTGAATCTCCCAGTGAGGAAAGGAGCTTCCAGCATGCAGAGCTTGGCTGTTCCTCAGCCTCTACCCAGAAGCAGGACCCCATCTCCATCCCCACCCATCTGTGTTCCCCCACACTGATGCCTCCTAATGAATGACCAAAAGTCAGCAGCTCTTTTTGTGTTAGATACTGAACAGACATAAGATGGTAACATCAGCTTAATTACAAAGTAATTAAGCCCTCATCTTCCTGTTATCTGCAGCTGTCAAGGAAAAGCTGAGAGGATCTGCTCATCTGTAAAAGCAGTCTCTCGTCCCTGCCGGGTTCCGAGGCATCAAAATAGGGGGAATTCTGCCTGCAGTGTGAGCTTGTCATCATTAACACTCAGTTGGGCTTCATTCTGATCTCTGGTGTGGAGCAGCTCCTGGGGAATGCCAAGGTGGAGAGGCCAGATGTGCCAACCTCTCAACATGCTGCCCATCACAACACGATGACCATCTCAACATGATGACCATCAGCCTGAACACCTGACGAAACACTGCACTACAGTTTGAAAGATTTCACTTAGGATTGTTTCTCTCTGACAAAAACCCATCTGCCTTGGTGATTACCACTACCATCCCATCAGCCAAAGGGAAGAACACCTTCAGCAGAGAAGAATATCCGGTTCAATTAAAGGAAGGATTCATTTTTGCAGGTAAAAAAGTGCAATACAGCCAAAGCTGGAGTGATCACACCCCTGTGCTCCTAAAGAGGGGCACCACTGAAGATGCCGAAAGAGCACAGCCCCATCCTGCCCCACACTTGCTGCTCTCTGGTCTCACCCGACCTCTGTGCTCAGCATTCCCCATTACATCCCCAGCGCTGCAACCAGCGACTCACTGCCTCCTGCAGCAGGTGCTCTCCTGGCCTGCAGCCCGCTGGCCTTCCCATCCTGCCTGCAGATGATGGAGCACTGAGTTCCTCATCAATGCCACCAACATAATTTTTCTTTGGCAACTTATTGACCAACATCACAGAATCATTAAAGACCTGCAAGATCCCCAAGCCCAGCTCCAGTCCATCTCCACCATAACTGCATCCCCAAGTGCCACATTCCCATGGCTCTGAACACCTCCAGGAATGGGGACTCCCCCACTCCCCAGGCAGCCTGTGTCCATGCATCACTGCTCTTTGCAGCTCCCTAATACCCAGCATGACCCTTCCTTGGCACCATGTGAGATCATCACCTCCTGTCCTATCACTTTTACCTGCGAGCAAGTTGCGCTGGAACAAAATTCTCTTCTGCTACCATCAAGTTTGACTCTCTGCTATTTGTCCTCATAGAAAATCAAGCAAACAGCTCGAAGGATGCTTCATTCCTCGGAAAGAATTCCTCTTGCGGCAGCATCGTGCACCAAAGGTTTGGAAATCATTACAGAAGAAGCCAGCGGCTGTGAGGTGACAGATGTAAGGGCTGCTGCCACCTATGGATGGAGAACTGCGGGAGCAGCCCGGCCTGCCCGCACCCATTGGCGCTGCGGGGTCTGAGCTTCCTCCTGCACAGAGCAACGCTGCAAGCAGGGGGCCGAGGGGAGCTGCTGCCCCCATGCAAACGCATGGAGTACAGTGAAGGACCTTTGATGGGAGCTTGCTTGGTTAATCTGGCTGCATCGTTTTCGTCGACAGCCCGTGGCTTATCCTCCCCTTCACCTTGCTGTTCTGATGTATTGAAATCCTTTTCAGGTGTGCAGATTCGTGCTCAGATTGCTATGCTGGTAATTTCTGCACTAAAACTGTGCTGCGTGCTGCTGGCCCATGGAAGGTAACACATCCACGTGTGCTGGGACACAGGGAGATGTTGGGCTGTGTGTTCTGCAGAGGTGATGCAGCCACACACAGACCCACACCAGCCCTACCTTTTCCCCCCAGCACTGTTACTTTTAGGGAAAAATGTCAGCCTTTCAGCACAGTGTTAAAGACATCCCCTCGCATTACTCCTTTTTGCAATCTCACAAGCTTCAGCTTATTGAAAAACCTGTTTTTCTTTTATCCTGAGTCATTGTGCATGAAGAAACCATTGTTTTAAAGGTGACTCATCCGTTTGCATCAGCAGCTGCCATGCCCCCCAGGGGTACACAGACTCCAAGCAGGCAGTGGCTGCCAGCCCATACGTCCCAGGCTGCAGGCGCTGCACTCTGGCTCATCCCTGCCAGCCCAGCCCTCACTGTGGGCATGTTTGCTTTTGTGGCCTTCCTTCACGAAGAAAATGCATCCTGCTGACAGGTTGCCTGCTGCTTGAGCAGGGAAACCTGTATGGTGGCACATGTACCTGTTGCTGAAATAGCCAGGACTACTGAGTTTCCTGAAATCAGTATTCCAGTGAGTAGAAAACTTCTTTGCTTACTACCAAGACACACCAAACATACTGGAATTACAGCGGAAAGGAGGACAACATCCAAATTATCCTCTTCATAGTGCCTTCTCTCTTATCTGCTAACATGGTGGGTATGGTCAGGCACAGTTGCCCAGGGAGCGGTGGGGACACCATCCTCCAGCTGTTCCAGAACGTGGAGATGTGGCATTTGGGCACACGGTCAGTGGGAATGGGTTGGGACCCCAGAGGTCTTCTCCAGCCCTGCTGGTTCTGCGATTCATGCTGGTGCTTCCCGTCCCATTGCTTGACCACCTTCCAACAAACATCTTCCAGCAGCACCGCATTCTACAAGCTAAGCCCAAGCAAACCCCAGGGACAGCTGACCAGGTCACACAGGGACGGCACCAGCATCATCACGTGGAGCTCATTTCATAATTGCGTGTTTACAGAGACATAAATAGAATTCATCCAGCAGTCACATGCATATGGATCTGTTACACATTCCTTGCTGCCTTCAAACAAACTTGCAGGACCTCAGCAAACTTCAGCTAACCATGACAACTGCAGCTTTCTGGTTTCCCCTTGCTTCTCCCAGGATAACAGCAAACACGACATAAATCTTTTCCTGGCTCTCTCTCGTGTTCTGTCTGACAGCAGCGAGGAGAACATAAGCAGAATTCCTGCTTCGGCAGATTTCTTACCTGGGATTTCAAGCATCAACCTCTTGAGAAATGAAAGCTCCCCAAAGCAGCCTGGGGGAAAAAATAAAAAAAGTCATGCTGCTTTTGAAACTGAAGAGACAATTCAAGTTCGAGATGAGGAAACAAAATGGCATTACAGAAGTAGTAACAGCAGATGGCAGGACTAGAGGAGGAGTAAAATAAAAGAAGTGCAAATCACAGCCGTGCTCTCCGTGCAGACACACTTCCAGGCACAGCCATCGCATCACCGCTCCTCCCGGGGATGTGTGCTGGAGCTGCATGGAGAGCAATGGGTGGGAGGCAGCCAACGGGAGGGCAGGATCCATAGGAACACCCATCATCCTTAGGCCAGCTCTAAAAGCATCTCAGATACCCATAAAAAAGCACAGGCTCTAAAAAATCTTATGTGGTGCCGTCAGCTCTGCCTCCTCCCGCTGTGCCCCAGCACTGTGCCCCCAGCAGCACCCGGAGCTCCAGATGCTCTCCTGCTGTGGCCACACAGCTTCTCCTCCATGTTTACTCGCAGTAAAAGAAAAGATTTCTCTCTCCCCAGCAGATTCCTTTTCTCTGATTTTTCCCTGAGAACCTACTGAGCACTTTCACTGGATGTCCTCTGCAATTTTGTACTAATGCATCTCAGTAACAATGCTTCCAAAAGGTTTGCTTTAAATTCCTTAGTTTCAACAGCAAGAAGAGTGGTGGCACATCCAGGAGCCTTCCTTCCACAGCTCCATGGAGTTGAACCCAACCCAGGATCCCGCTCCAGGAAAGCAGTGAGGAAATGGCGTCCAGGCCCTGGGCTGGAACCAAACATCTCAGCTCAAAGCCTGGCTCTGAGTGCCAGCAGCCACAAGAGCCCCAAATCCCATCCAACATCCTGCAGCTCATGCTTATCTCTGGTCAGAAACCCAAAGCGATGCCCCCAGCACTGGGATGCTCCATACTGAGAACTGTTCTCCCCTTTTGCTCTCTGACAAGGGGCCCACGTTTCAACCCAGATGATTTCTTCCTTCCTCTGTCCCACAGCTGTCCCCAGCCATTAGCTGCCAAGGAGCAAATGCCATGAACAGCTCAGCTTCCCCACCAGGACACAGCACAGCAAGAGTCAGACTGACCCCTTCCCAGACTGACAGCGGTCACAGCACACCCCTGCCAGGGGACTCCCAGGTTTGGGTGCTCAAGCACAGTTACACTGCTGAGAGCAAATGCACAGCAAACGTTTCCTCTTCTCTCTAGAACACGGGCAAGCAGGGTGCAGGTTCACTGAGGCACTGCTCCACTTCAGACTGCTGCTGGTGGCTCTGTGCGCTCCCTTCACTCAGGCAGTGACCAGGTATGACAAGTTCCTTCTGGACTTTGTTTTCCTCACGGTTAATCAAGGACAAGAGCCCTCTGCAGCACGACGATGGCCAGGCAGCATTTGCATGAAAAAGCCCTGAGATCCTAGAATGAAAACCGCATCAAGGCTGTAAAGACAGTCATCGTTTGTAAAACCGGATCCTTCTATCCCACTTCAATATCACAACAAAGGTAATGTCATGACGCTTCTTTGTTGTTGTTGGTTTTTTTTGGTGATGCTTTCTGCATTAAGGATCTGCTTCCATGCAGACATGAACAGAAACACTGATGAAGAACAGGTTGAGCTGCTATTACAGCCAGCTGAAATCCCCCCAGTCACTACCAGAATGTGTGCTATGCCAGAACACTTCTTCTTGCCCATCGACAGTGTAATTATTTGACAAGAATTACCTGCTTTAAACTCCTTTTCTTCAAATCCCAACACAGAACTTTATTTTCTGATACTTACATGTTAAGCCTGGGATGTGACAACACAAATAATAAGAAACACCACATTAAGGACATGTTTAAGACCACTTTCATCTTTAGTTCTTCCTCTGCAGTTTATTATATAAATTATGCTTTTAAACATTCAGAGCACTTACATTTCAAAACAGAAAATGTTTAGTTCCACGCTGAGATACTAGTGCAAAAGTGGTTTATCTAAGTGCAAATAAGTTACACGTCCCCACCGACAGCCAATGGATTAGGCTGTTTGTAATGCATCTCAGAAGTCCATAACTCATGATTACATTATTTACACTGCGGCTGAGCATGTTGTAGTCGATAGAAATATTGGACTTTGGTTGGTGACAACCAAACACGCTGACAGTACAAATGAGAGACAACAATTCTACTTGAAGCAGACCTGTGAATTCACTGGGACTGAAGAACAACAATATCGTTTTTCTGAGTTGACTTTAGTTACAAATAAGCAGATGTCAAATGCTCGATTTGCTGCTGAATTCCAACTATGAAAACACGGCAAAGCTCGCATACATGCAGGTATTATATTCCAGTGAATGCCATAGGTCATCTTTGGCACATCATAGACAGTACCTGAACACTGAATACAGCATGAGATAATACACTTCATGAAATAGTCTTGGTCTGGACGAGGGTAAATGAGAACAGTCACAGATCTTTCCCACCTCCAATGCCAATAAATGTTGCTACAAAAATGAATTAAACTAAGACTGAAATGCAGCAATGCCCCTTGGTTGCACAGTGCATACTAAAACCAGTGTCTAATTAAATCCAAGCAAAATAAATGTTATTCAACTCACAGATGCTACTATATGGGGTCACTGCAGTGAAATATGGGCCGTTCTGTCTGCAGTTGTTGTTAGTATTTTAGAAATCTGCACTCATTTGTCTTAAAGTTGTGGTGCAAAAGCAAATTTGAGACTCCACAAATAACAGTTATCAACGAATTTTCTTTTTCACGTTCTTTAAAGTGATGCTTAATTGAAATCTGCATAGTCAAGAGTGCAAACGTAATTCACAAAAGTCAGACCCAGATGTGAACGTTGCTTCTTTTGTAAGTTAGTAGGACTGGTCACAGTCACAGCAATAAGCAACCTCCAGAAATAAAGGTACAGGAGATGGAGGGGTGGTGGGGATGAAAACCACCAGAAGAACTCTCACGAGTGTATTTTTCTATCAATAAAGTCTTCACACAAAGATACACAACACCCATTCACATTCATGTGCACAACAGAATGTAAACTACAGAGGAAATATTTCCTCTCCAGAAAGAACAGTGAGATTATTGGTGACTGTTGTTCAGCTGTTCCCACAGCGGGAACCATTACGATACCCAGACAGAAAACAAAAGGTCCAAATTTCTTCATGCCCTTATTACAACCACATTTAAACTAGCATCTCACCGTATGAAACATGAAATCTGAGTACTTCTGTAACGCTAAGAATTACCCTTCACACACACTTTTAAAGCAGCATCACCTCTGGTCTTTTTTAGCTCTCAAGACTATCAGCCCTCTCCTTACAGCTCATGTTATTCACAGTAGGTTGAGTGGCAGCTGAAGAGGTCCCCTCTCTCTTCCAACACCCGTGGAATGGCTCAGCCTATGGAAGGGGTCTGCAGGCACTCCCCACTCCACAGAGGAGCACGAGAGCAGCACAACTCCACTTCCAGCTTCATTTCCATCAACACAGGCAGCACAGTCCCAAGTCTCCCCCTTCAACACAGCTACGTGACTGCAAGAAGCAGTTCTGAATATTTACACTGTTGCATTATAACCATTATGAGAAAAACGTGTGGGGTGGGGAAAAATCTGTGTTCCCCAAACATGTGAGCAAAGACTCGCATGTTGTCTACACACCTGTAAGATGACATTTCTTATCTACAGTTTGACTTGTGCAACGCGGAGGCACTGCTCTGCAGCAAAGCACTGGTTTAAAGGCAGGATTAACTCATGCTGGTCAATCTACCTGACAGCCTCACTTCTGTTCTTCACCACGCACAAAGTATGCTTAAAATTTTGCAAGATTGTGCTGTAACTAGTGCCAGCTATCGTCTATATTAGTTAGGTTATGGATTATTCATCTGATTCAGACGCACAACCTTGGACTGAGGGGAAACCATCATCATTATTTAATCACACAAGCCCTGATCCGGGAGGGGAGTACCCCTTATTTACTCACCATGTGCCTATTTAGAGACTACGGGCTCACATTTAAAGTCTGCAGGCTTAAAATACGAGATTCAAACTCGGTGGTTTAAGAGAGAAAATTATGTACGAAACCAAGAGAGACAGAAATTTGTTTTCTGCTACCAATGTTGAAGAAACAGGGCCTAAAGCATTTTAGAGAAGATCGACAACAGTGAGTAAAAAGCAGCCCCAGCCCTGGGATTCTGTAAGAACATCTGTAGCAGTTCAATACTTTTCACCCTTGTGAAAAGTGGAAGAGCAAAGGAGAAACACACTGCACAGTGAAAGCCAAACCCACCGCAGCGAAACAACGATCCCAGGGCTGAAGCCCTACCTTCATCAGCTACATCTGCTGCACACAGAAACACAAATCAGTTCCACGGCAATGTCAGCCAGCGTCAACAAGATGTCCATATATTTACGTGCATCACCTCTCCTTCTTAGAAAATAACCTGCTCAGGGAGCAAAGGAGAAAATAACCTGCTCAGGGAGCAAAGGAGAAAATAACCTGCTCAGGGAGCGAATGCACTGGGAGGTGGGGAAAAAACAGTCAAAAGTCTGGAAACATGCACTGAAGATAATGGAATTTGACCCCAGAAACAAGCCACCTGGGCACGCAACAACTGCCATTCTGACTGAGCTTCAGGGCAAAACTGCAGGAACCAATCCATCTTGTTCCAACTCAGAACACCAAAATAAAACTGTCCAATTAGGGGTGGGCTGACACATTTTCACAAGCGACAGCAGCGATTTTTTTTGTTTCTGGCAATGTCACAGACAAATCTTCTGGCAGAATCCAAATCTACTGAAACCAAGAACAGAACAATTCAGTGTAGCACTAATGGTAATTGTAATTTCTGTGTCATTTCAGGGGTGTAAGTCAAGGTACCAGCAGAGTAAGACCGCTTTTTACATTAGTTCAAGATCTGCATCGGCACAACTGATTTCCATGCTCTGTACTTTTTAAAGGTGGTAGTTATAAGGGCATCAGATTAGAGTTCCATTAATGTAAAATCCTAAAGGAAATGCAATTTGGTAGTCTGAAGGAAACAGCTTACTCTCTAATATACAATGAAAGTACTTTGTGGCCTCCTGTGCTTCAGGAAAACATCCCCCATATTCAGATCGTCAGACAGCCTCACTAGTTAAGACACATTAAAATGAAACATTTTCCATTAAAGTTGCCAAAAACTGGATTTAAATTTATTGCATGACGTTGCATAAGAAAGTATATTATTGAAAACTGTAAGGCATCATGCAATTATCCATCAGCTAATTATTTATTATTCCTTGAAAGATGGTTATATACTCTAAAGTTATAAAACCAGTTTCAAAAAAGTACATAAAAAAATTTAACATGATAAGCATTAAATATTTCTCACGTTTGCAGTTTTTAGCTGTTAAAAAGTGCATTCAAACATACTGTACTGGAAAGTTGCTCTGTCCAAAAATGGTGCTGGAGACTTGTTAAATTAAATGTTGCAAAAGAATGCTGTATGGGATTAGAAAGCTAACGTGGTGGTACTTCAACTTACAAACTTGCTTGAAAGAATTTCTCAATCCTCACACTTACAATTTAGCATAGGAGATACAATTATGTAAAAATGGATGCTTTTATAACTAAACAGTCAAATGAATCCAAGTTGTGTACACCGAGTGATCAAATAAGGAGCAGACTTAATATTCAGACATGGGACAGGATGCACTAATGTGATCTTGGCATTAATCAATGTACTGTGCCATCCAACGGAATCCTTCTCCATAGCCTTGTCTCTTTAGCACGCTGCACATGAACACTTCTAGTGGCCTTGCATTCAGTTCTTTCAATGGTATACTGCCCTGCAAAGAGACAGAAGCACTCCAAATTACAGGATCTTTACAAAGAGACAGCTGCTCTGCACTGACACTTGTTTCTACACAATGCCATTCTTTACCTTACGGTTGATGTTAGAATCTTTGAAGAAAATGACTCTGAAACTTCTGCACACAATGCCAGCCTTACAGTCCCTGAGCATATTTTCATGTGCAGCCACATTCAGAGAGCATGAAGTGCGTGGCACCTGAGTGCAAAAGCAAGCATCTGTATAGAGAATCTGAGAGCTCAGACTCCAGTTTTCAGAGGCGGTTCCCTGCAATGTTTCTAGCAGCTTTCCAAGCAGATAAAAAGAGCATTTGCTACAAATTGTAGGGCTGACCGCAGTCAGAGTGCTTTCTTGCCAAGAGCAGCACAGTGTGACAAAGCTATTCCTCAACTGCAGGCTCACTACAGGATTCTTACTTCACAGACTGCATGCGGTGGTGGAAAATACAGAGCAAGATGCAAAACAAAACGATAAAAAGAAATGAATAATAATTGTTTATATTCCATTACACCTATTCTAAAGCTAACCCACACAATTCTTGTTTCTATGTAATTTCTTTTTAATTCCTTGTACCCAAAACTCCATTACAAGCAGTACACTGTGTTTACTTCAAAGAGAGCTGAATTACCACAAAGATGGGTAATATAAATCTGCTAGTAGGAATGTTTTTCCACTGCCTACAAACTCAGATTTCTGCAGAAGTATAACCCTGTTTCTAAATTTCAGTTAAATATGCTAAGTAATGAATTGTACTAAATCTGCAGTTTAAATGACAAAAATCACTTACTGGAGGACTTTATCAAGTTTTCTCTTCCAGTTCCTACTAGAACTGTAGCCTCTGAAAACGTCACCTTTTAAAAGTACTGCACAGAAGTAGCTCAAGTACTGAAATCTATGCTTAGTACAACTACATTTTCCCTGGTAAAATGTGTTATTGGAAATGATGAATAGAAGCTGCAGTAGGGATGCTTCTAACACGCACAGCATTTCTTTCACACAAACCTATTAAGTACTGAGTATATAACAAACTAAAACCCATTTATTTTGTGTAGCTGAGTGAACCAGAATCAACACAGAACTGTAGGGTAAACATGAGATCTCTAACAAAAAAAAGGAGCTTTACCTTTCCTGTTGTCTGGCCATACAGACCAAACATCTCTCGTAACCTCTCTTCACTGATGGCTTCAGGTCTGTCAATCTTATTACCAAGGATTAGGATAGGCACATTAGCAATAGTTTCATCTGTCATTAGTGACTGCAAAGGAAAGGAGAAAGGGGAAAGAGACTATTTTAGGAGATAGTCTGATTTAAAGCTTTTTTTTCAGGATGTAGTTTGATTTAGGGCTTTATATTAAGACAAAATGTTAATAACGATGTGGTGAAACTCGGTCTTTCTAAGAAGTAAGGGCAGCAAAATTCACTGTTATTTGGTGCAATGAAAATAACTGATGGCAGTTGTTCAATCTGCTTGCGATAAAAGAAATTAAATTACTCATTCACAACATAGAAAACATCATAAATGGAGCAATACTGATTCCACTGGCAGAACAGAACGTTCACCTACATACAGTGCAGACGGTAATGAGCAGGAAGAGGGTGACAGAACCAAAATACAACTAGATGGCATTGAAGATGCTAAAAGTGAAATTGTGGCAGGAGAGCTCTCTTGAACACGGGGAAATGGAGGTTATTTCTTAGAGGTTAGAATCCAGATTTTCAAAAGCCCAGTTAAACTTACATCGAGCTCTTCTTTTGATTCAAGCAGTCTTTCATGATCTGCGCAGTCCACCAAGAACACAATGCCATTGATAGCAGGCAGATAGTTTTTCCACACTCTGCGAGCTACAGGGAAGAAGTGAAATAAAACCAATGGAAATTATCCCCAAGCTTAGAGCGATGCAACTCAGTAATGGAGAAGCCACACTTATTTCTGAAGTCTTAGTGTACATGGCCAGTCTTCAGGATGCAAACCCATGTTTTATAAAGCTTGAGATAACGGAGCAAATGCATAATTCCCTCTGCTGTTATCACCACTCTATCTCACATGCACACACTGATGGACTGAACCTTTTTGTGTTTCCCCAAGTATTACATCAACAAATGTTAGTTTGAAGCACAGAGGTTGAAGGTATACACAAGAAATTCAATGTTCTAAAACAAAAACTATCTAATCCTCCTCAAAATAGTTACCATCAGTCAAAGAATCCTGATCTACTGCAGCTCCTGCCAAATTGTATTTGGGAGCACAGTATGTGGCAGAGACAGGAACAGAGCAGTGAATGTTTTTAACACTACCAAAGAGAGTGTGGGAAGCTGATCTCTGCAGTATGGTTGTATTTCTGATCTGAGACAAACTGACTGTAAACAACTCTAATTCACAGCAGTTAAATGAGTCAACATATTCTCTTACCTTGAGCATGTCCACCCAGATCAAAAGTAGTGAAAGTCATACCAGCAATTGTCAGCTCTTCTGAAGCTACAAATACACAGAATTATGTTCTCTGTGAAGATCATATATCATCATATACATACTACACAGTATTCTACTATACGTAATAGCCTGACTACTCAGGACACAGATTTCACTTTCTCTTGTCATTTTCAGTATTTTGTTTATCAAGAAATATAGCAGAGAGATACAATTTCTTTCAAAATCAGTAACATTTATGTAACAACAAAATGTAATTAAAACAGATGTCAGAAATCTAGTGTTAAGAGAACAGCAGAGAATGTCTGTCTGCACATGATTTCTCTCTCCCCCATTTCAAAGGCAATAGGTAGCTCTGGCATTTGGTTTGCCACATAGATGAAATTTCACATGCAATACTGGCAGAGGTCACTCCTTGTTGTGTCCTTGCTTAATTGCTCACCTTCTCCTGGACTTCACCAGTCCATGTTTTTAACCTCTGCTGAACTTTTCCTCCTGCAAGGCTACCATGGTAACAATCAGAGTCAATGAGTCAATGAGAATCAGAACAGTGTATGGAAATGCTAACCTTCCAAATATCCAGAGAAGCTGCCCTCAAATGTTTCAAGTCTCAATTTCTCACAGCTTCTGTAATTCAGAATTTCTCAATTCCATTACTCTTTGTCTCCCCCCAATTACTTGTGATGTATAATCAGGTTTCCTGCAGTACTTTCTAGCAAGGGAACTAGGAACGTTAACTTACTGGGGTGTAGTGTGGGGACATGCTGTCCCAGCCTGTCATCTTTGAGCATGTGCAGCAGTGTAGTTTTTCCAGCATTGTCCAGTCCAAGAAAAACTAGTTTGCCTGATTTCTTGTACAGTCCTGTAACAAAGAATAACCTACTGAATCAGTTCTATCAGTGGGAGTATTATCTGAGCAGCATTGTCCAACAGGAACCCACATCACGTACGTATAAAATACAAACATTTAGAGTGACAGCAATGGCATCTTTCAACACTGCTAAGCATAAGCTTCTCTCAGATCCTGTGTGGTCTGCTAATCAGCAAGACCAAGACACCTTCCTACACATATGTCCTACAGATTTCTGTTGGCACAGCTGTGACAGTCAGTAGAGAAGGGGTGTGTGATTGCTAATGGAAGCGTCCATGTGCAGTCACTATTTCTAACATGAGAGATGACTCGGCTCCCAGGAGAAAAGTTGTACAGCCATGGCACAAAATACAGACCTGTCAAGCTCCACAGTGCTCTTTATCAATGCCCTTTATCAGCAAGTGCTCTCCTACTTGTACAGGCCACATTCATACTTGCTCATGTGCTTATCACAGCTATGCTTGCTACACACAGCTGATGTGATGCTGAGTGGCATCTGGGGAGAGAGGCACACGACTGATGTAAATGTGTCACACATAATTGCATTTACTTTATCTGAGCAAAGCTAAAAGAAAACTCAACTGAACCTTGCCGGGGCAGCTTGCTTTGCTCTACCAAATGACAAATGACCAAAAGAACCTTCCCTCCAGTCCAAGCCATTCTATCATACAGTGTTAACAATGGACTCTAAAATATCAACCATCCTGGGTCAGGAAAAGAGTATATTTTGTTCAACTCCCTCCTGTTATGACAGAAAAAAAAATTAATCAAACTAGATAATGTCACAGTTGCGGCATACACTGAAAGAAAGGTTTATTTTACAGCCACTGTGATGACACAGCAGTACTCTGTGAGGTATACTTTACCACTGAAGTTATCCACACATCCTACTCCAAAAACAATGAACTCCCCTGACCTGCAAACTAGACTCCAGAACCCTGCCTACTGCCAAAGGTTGTGCCAAGTGCCACAGGAACAAGAGCTCTGAAGCTGTTCAAAGGTCACATTATGAGCAGTGCCCTGCTCTGTACCTCGACCCAGCAACAGTATTTCTGGAGCCCTTATTCCTTTCCATAGGCGCTGATCACCCTGAGATCTCTGCTCCACTGCATCTCCCTATGGTCACACAGCCTGGCCCGTTTGGGAGCCACATCTGAACTGCTAGAGATCCACAGGTGCTGCCCAGTTTCTGTGCTGTTCACAATATTGATTATAAAGTACGGATGCTGCACTCAGCCAAGTGAGGATGATTTCTGATGAGAAAGGTCCTTCCCAGTTCAAGCCCGATGAGGGCAAAAGTGGTGGTGACTTCTTATCAAATATACTATCCTTGCACATACTTTGTTTTTGTCAGATTTTAAATAGCACTGTTACACAGGGGGCTCCTCAGCCACCCCCGGGGATGCTATGCAATCCACAATCACATGTGCCTCTATCTGCCTGACCTTTACACTGCTGCTGTTTGCTCACCTTTCCCCCCCCTTCAAGCTAATCTCTGGAACTGCATTCCACCAGGGCATGTTTTATAACCTGCAGGGAAGAATATGCTTTCATACACCGCAGCTTATTTCATTAATAACCTTTTTTACTACAAGAACTGCACAGTGTTTTCATAGCTCTTTTTCAAACACAACTCTTATTTCCCAGCTCACCTTCTCATATACTCAAATATCATTAACCACTAAACTACAGGACAGAGGTGAAAGTACTGATGTTGACAGGGAGAGAACTGAATAAGCATTTCCATATATAAACTTACATCACAGAAGAAACTGCAGTTTACACTTACCTTACAAGTTAAGTGAACCACCACTAAGCTGTAGTAAAACAACTGCATTTTTTGCCACTCTCACACGGGACATGAGAATGAAAGGTTGGGGTTTTTTTAGAATAAGAGGGACATGTAAAGGGCAATTCTCTTCTCTGCTGCAGGCTTCAGCATCTCTCACTAGAATTAGACTTTTTATGTGCAGGTATAGGAAAGCAAGCTAGCGTGCAGCAATCACTGCTTGGCTAAGAGGAGATAAGAAAGGTTGGTCAACTCAGTTAAAGTTTTACTAATATTTCAATGGCAGGCCAAGGGTCTAACATGAAGTGAAAAAGTTTAAACTTTCAACTGATAAAATGCAGGTGGCACAGACTGCCATGGCCCATTAATCACAAATTCTTTTTATTTACTTGAATAGAATCCCTGAAACTTGTACACTGCCCTTTTTATCTATGTTATCTGCAACTTCTGCTCCTCTTCTGAGTACTGTAGCACTCCCATTCCTCTTGTGCTCTTTTTTCCTCCCATTTTACAAAAGCTAATGTTTCGCCCTGTATGCTTATGTTCAAAAGAATTCAACCCAAATAACTGAGTCAGATTCTTTAAAGAAGAAAAAAAAAGTCAGGAGAAGCTTTATTAGCTGGACTACACCAGTTTAAATGTAGTAATTAAAAAAAAAACAAAACAAGCCTATTATGTTCCTGAAAGAAAAAGTAATTTTCAAGAGGTTACAGGATGAATGTCAGATTGAGTGGAGAATACATTATGGAAATATTCAGTGTTGATAAGTTAAACTTTTTTTTTTTCAGTGATACTGAATATACACTAAAATAAATGTTATTATTTAACAAGCCCCTCGGTTTGAAGATAGGTTAATAGACATGCTATTAATCCTGATAAAAACAGCAGGAAAAACTTACCTAAGAACTGTAATACACTACTGAAGCCACTGTAAATCCAGTCAAATATGAAGGACATATCTGAATCTTTTAGTCTGAAATAAACAGAAAATAGAATGCTCTGTTAGAACAACACATCAAACACTGTGAGGTGCTTCCTGAGGCTGACTCCTGAGAAGTTCTACAATAAGACATTGCTGTCTGCACACCTCCTGTCTGTTTGCCTTGCAAGGGGCCCATGGCACTGGAACCACCACTTATGGCAACCCCCAGTACTGTCTCGTACACACTTCTACCACCTACAGCTTAAACATTTAAACTTATCTCAAAGCAGAACTCTGGAACACCACATCCCTCCCCCATTTTTGGACGAGGCTCAGGAAAAGAGGGTTGAGGTGAGGATGCTCAGGGTGGCACCAGCTGTGGGCAGATGCCCTTTGACAACAGGATGTACCCTGGGACTTCACAAGATCCCCTTCTTTCTAGGATGGTAAAAACAACAGCATTCCAGTCCCTGGGGGGCAGCAAGTGGCCAGCTGGGCCAGCAGCACACAGCCAGCCACAGCAGCAGCCTCTGAGGGACATTTCACACCTTGAAAGTTTGGAGAACACACACAGCACAGAGGGAGAAGGGCCAGGACCTCACAGAGTCACTCAGGTTGGAGAAGACCCTTAGGATCACCAAATCCAGCCATCATCACCACTACCAACTGCACCTTTTCTGAAGCTGCGCCTTCAGGTAAGAGAATGCTGTCACTAAGTTCTAGGGCAGCCATGAGCAATTAGTTTCTTAACTTCCATCTTCCTCATTATCCAAAGTGAGGGTAGTCACACCGAGAGCACCAGTTTGACAGAGCAAATTAGTACCTAGCTGGAAAAGCTTTTGCAAGACCAAAGGGCAGCTTCCTTAGGAGCATTAGCTAGCTAACCCTGCTGCAGTACTTAATTCCTCCTAACAGGTTGGGAAGTCGGAGTTCAGGTCTTCGAATTGAGGGCAGCATACCCTGTATGTCAGCGCAGTATTTGTGTGCTGGGGCTTGCAGGATGGCTTTAGGACAGCCCTGAACCTGGAGCATAGCACAGAGCAGTCAGACCACAGGTCAGCACCAGACCCAAATCCATCTGCCTGTCCTAACGATCACACCCATGACAACACACGGAGGTTTTCCTCCACACAGCAACAGGTACGTCACGGCAATACCGAAAGGGGATGAAATGTTATTGTTATTTATGTTTGCTCACACAGGAACAAAATCCGTTCAGCCCATACTTGCCCTCCCTGATTGAGGATGACGAAGCGTTAGGCTTCCCCATGACTAACCCTGAAACTCTTCCCCACCTCCCACAGCCGACCAACTGGAACAGTTGCAAATTTTAAGATACAAATAAGCTTGTCAATACATAAACAGCCAGTTACACAACGTCATGGCTGAAACTGTCACTTACATGTCTAAAAAGCAAAGGTCAAGAATAAGCAAATATGGCAGGAGGACACGTCAGCAGATTTATTTATTGCTTGAACAAAACACCGATCGAGAAAAGCCTCTGTAAGGCTTAGGAAAATGATCTGCCCAAATAACTTGCAAATCAGTGCAAACAGCGTGATGCAAGAGCAGTGCTCAGATTACTGAGGTGAGAATAACCTCACAGAGTTCAGTTGTATTAACCACTTCCTTCTGTGAAGCTTATGGATGAAAGAAGGAAATCTTCACTCACTGAAAACCTCTAACAAGGCAAGGTTCCAAATACAGCAGAACATGCTTTGCTATCAGCCGGCAGCCCTTAAAGAGAAATACTACTTTTAAAATGGGGAAAAAATTGACAGCAAATTGTAAAAACATACTTGAGCTATTTGAACAGAGATATTAAATCTACTGTTATCGCACAGAAAAAACACCAACCCAGCTCAGGGCAGTGTCACACTGAGCCACAACAACCCGCAGCACACTGCACGGCTGGGCCACGCAGCCAGCGTGCATCGACTCCGACCTTCCAGCCCCCGTGATGCGCCATTAAGGCAGAGCAGTGAGAACTATTTTAGGGCTATTTCAAGGACTCCCTTGAAAGTAATGAGTTGTGAGGAGCCAGACTTAAGGAGAAATTGTAACGGACACCTGACAACCTGTTGGTACTGACAGTTCACAGCCATCACCAACTTATCCACTTGTGGACTCTCAGAAACATGAGAAGAGTTTTCTAGCGTCAACAACAGATGGTTGCCACCTCCAAACACCTTTAACAACCCTGGTTAACATTATTTCACAAGCAAAGTGTCACTTGTGTCTCCTGGGGAGCCTCTCCAGCCCATCTTCTGCAAAACGCTGCTGACAGCAGGGATAAGCCAGCAAACTTGCTCACAGTTGTTCCATGTTTTCTTTTTCTCCTACGAGAAGCAGGGATTTTTGCCCCTGCCTTGGACCTGCATTTTCCTGGCTAAAAGTCAATTACTACATTCCAGAAACAGAATAATGCTTACTTCTCAAACATGCAAACCTTCAGATAAGAGAAATGATCACCTGAATTCTCATTTCAAATAAGCTCACCTTAACAATCTAAATTATTTCTGCACAACAACAAAAATCAAAACCCGTAACAAGTTCAGTGAGTAAAATGACAACTTGCTGTCTCAGTCAAATGTATTCTATGACACCACGCTTGAGGAAACAACATGGTCCGAAAATGAGCTAACAGCAGATTTTCTTTGGGTACTTTAATCAGTTTTTTGATAGCGAATCATCTCTGAGATTTCAGAAAGAACAGTCACACAGTGCTGCTAGTAGGCGGGCTGAATAACAAAGATTATGTATTGCAGGACATATACTTAGCTCTACTGCGTCCTTTATTCCGTGACAATATATTTGTAGTTAGCATTGATCCAAAGCAGATCTGAAACTGCAAAGTACACAGTTTATCTGTCAAGACAGCACTGCAACAGGCACACGAGGCCCTAAAAGCAGCTGAGTAAGTGCTTCAGTCGCAGTCCAGCTCACAGAAGCTGCTCTCAGATCACAGTCTCAAAGCGGGGCCCACTGCAGCAGTTTCTGTACTTATTTTAAAAACAAATCATCAAAAAACCCAACATATCGGAGCACGAATATGAAATTATTTTTGATCTTCTGGGTGATCTATTGTGATCTGTGTTGGAAGAAATGATGCTCAGAACAAACCTTGACAGATCATTAACAATGTGCCAAACAACCAGATGAGAAAGTTGTAAGGCACTTGCAGGGTTACTACGTCATATTACAATACAATTCTTGAAATCACAAACACCAAAGTGAAATCTGAGACGGGGCTAAAAACAAGCTGCCAAATAATCATGAAAGATTCATGCAGCAGACGGCAGGCATGGGGCTGGTTATCTCAGAGCCAGAGATCAGAGTCTGCAGAGCCCCCCCAGAGGGGGGTGAGCGCCCAGAGGGGCTCTGCACAGAGTGAGCAAAAAATTAGAAGAAATTAAATGGGAAGGAAATTCAACCACACTGCTTGCAGGCAGGCAGGTGAGGAGAGGGAACATAAGGGGTGACCGGGATTCTGATTCACGGCGTTCAGAAGCAATGGGCTTTTTCGGATGGTGTGGAAAACAATTCTATCTACTAGCAGGAGGACCGTGGGTTGTTTTCGTGACAACGGCACAGAAATCCGGATGAGAATTCAGCAATAAATGTACCCAAAGCAGCCTGACACAGCCGTGAGAGCCCGAAGAAGACACAGCAGGCACACGGCAGCCTTCATAGCCGTCAGCTCTGCATCTCTGACCCGGAGAACAATGGCTCTTTCTGTTGCTAGGAGTGCGGAGAGAAAACTAATAGTAGGGAGGGAAGCATCGGGCAGAAACGCGAAACTTGTCCATTTTCCCACGACAAGGGGTGTTTTTTAGCGGTATTTGCGACCAAGGAGATGCCGAGCTGACGGGAGGGACACCCAGCGCGGATCGAACCCCTCCGAGCGCCGCGTCCTATCCGTGCCACCGCCACGGCCCGGCCCGGCCGTACCGAAGCGCCGTTCCCGCAGCCGCTCTCGCCGCCCGACGCTCCGCGCCCGGCCGCTCCGCGGCGCAACCCGCGCAGGCCGCTTTAGGCCGGAGCCCGCGGCGGCCGAGCGGCGGGGACGAGGGCAGGCCGCGGCTTCGGCACCGCCCGCAGCGCGCCGCGGAGGAACCCCGGAGGCCGCGGCCGGCATCGAAGCCTCGCCCCGTCGGCTTCCCGTCCCTTCGCTCACCACCGCCGAGCCTCAGCTTCGGCCGCTCCACCGGCACCGACACCGATCGACCCCGCCGCCGATCCCCGCTCCGCCCCCTGCGCGGCGCCTTCCGGGCCCGGCCCGGCCGTGCGGCACAGCGCGGAGCTCCGCCCGGCGCCTCCCCCGCTGCCGCCGTCGGCCGGGCGCGGATCCGTCGCGTGTCACCGCGTTGCCGTGGAGGAGGCGGAGGGCGGGCGGTCTCTCCTCGCGTTCCGCACCTTTTCTCCGCAGTTGGGCGGAACGCGGAGGCAGCCCCGATCTCGGTGCCCCGCACGGCCCGCGGCCTCCCGTATCCCGATCGGCTCGAGCGGCGCCGCGTCACCGCACCCCGGCGCTGAGGATCCCGTCCGTTCGCCGAATTGGGGCTCCCACTCCGCGGTGCCGCACGGCGACCCGCCGGCTCTCACCGAGCACCGCGTACGGCAATGCCGCCCCGCCGACAGCGGACTCGCAGTGGGGACCGAGAGGAACGCGGGGACGTTTAAGCAATTTCTGTAGCGATGACCCTGTGTTTTACACGCGGGCTCCCTGCCCTCACGGGTGACGGGCCGCCCGGACACGTCGCACGGCCCGTGGGGCGGGGCGTTCCCGCACGGCGGCACCCCCGTGTCGGACCCCGCCCACGGCCCGGCCTGCCCCGCCCCTCGGCTGTTCCTTTAAGAGGCCCCGTCCCGCCCACTTGCTGCAGCGCCGCTGCTTCCGGAAGTGCCACGTGTACGTAGTGCGCGTGCGCGGCCCGGTACTTCCGGTGTGCGGAAGCCCCGCCCCTTCTCGCAGCGCTGGGCCGGGCGCCGCCACTCGGGCGGCTCCGCTGAGCCTCTATCCGACCCCGCCCGGCCCGGCCCGGCTCAGCGCCGCCATGGCTCAGCCGGCCCGGCCCGCCGCCGCTTATCGTAGCCAGAACGGCGCGGGCCAGCAGCCCTACAGCAACGGTGAGACGGGACGAAGCGCTTGGGAGAGAAGCCGAGGCGGGGGGAGGCGGGTGCTGCTTCCGCCTCGAGGCCTTCGGGCGCCCGGCGCCTCCCTTGATGCTGCCACGTCCCCGGGGCGCCGGGCGGCTGAGGGTAGGCCCCAGGCCGCGCTGTGCAGCGGGGCTGGCGGCGGGGAGAATCGCGTCACGCAGCAGTGCGGGGCGGCCTCGGGTCGGGAAACGCGGAGCGGTGTGCGTTGCTCGGAGCGTCTCGGAGGGTCGTTATTGGGGCAAAGCGACCCTCTTCCTACTTCTTTTAGTGGCGTAAACATCCTTGTGGGCTGACGGGGGAATCTGTGTGTTAGCTAGGTGAAACGTGCTGCGTGCCGTGCTGCCTGTCTGCAGCTCCTCACGGGCAGTGGAGGGGCAGCGCTGAGCTCTGTCGTCTGGGGACGGCGGCGAGGCCCCAGGGAACGGCGTGGAGCTGCGACTGGGGAGGGGCGGCGGGCGGTTAGGGATGAGTCCTGCACCAGAGGGAGGTGGGCATGGAATGGGCTGCCCGCGGCAATGGGCACGGCCCCGAGCTGCTGGAGTTTGAGAAGCATTTGGATGACACAGCCTAGGGCTTGGTTTTTTTGGTGGTCCTGTTTAGGGCTGGGGGTTGGGCCTAGCGATCCGTGTGGGTCTCTTCTAGCTCAAAATGTTCTGTTCTAAATGGTTTGTGTTAGTCATTACTTCAGGCCATGTCCCCACCTGTGATAACACTGCAACAGCCAAGTGAGCCTGGCCCTTTGGAACCGAGCTGTACATGTGGCACAGCTTATTGCCCGGAGGAGGACCCTGCTGAGCTCAGGCAGTCACTCGCTCACTGTGTTTTATCTTGTCTGTCATGTAAAGCCAATATTGTCTTGTTCTGTACATCCTGATCTAGGAAAGCCTTGACTGCTTTCTTCTACTCAAAATATATCTTTTTGAAGCCAGATGCTGAAGGTGATACCAAATAGCTAGCTGACCTTCTGAGCTAGCAAGAAGGAAGCACAAAGGCAGCCTTGTCTCTGTTTGCTTTGCACGTGTGGAAATCTGTGCTGTTGGAAAGTGTTTTCTGATTTCATATGTACTTCCATCATTCCTGGAACTTCCATCCTTAATTGGATGGTTATGTGTTTCAGTGGTTATGCTGCATCAAGACAATAAAGTTATAATGAGCTCTTTTGATTTTCCTGCTTTATGGCTGGGTAATTAAATGGTTTGACTTGTCACCCTCTTCTTCTTTCACAGTGCTTATGACTTCTGAAAAGGCATCTTAAAAACAAGTGTATTGCAGCTCATAGGGTCAGCAGTGTGGGATGTGGATACATAAATCTGAAAAGAGACCCTCTGTTCTGGAGAGTTTATAGTCTAGGCAGAGAATGTACAGAAAGAATGTTAACTAATGGAGTAACCAAGTGGGATGATTTACATGTTGGCATCATTTTATATTTGATGTGTAGTCAGACTAAGCACACAGTACAAGTTCTTGCAAGGTAGTAGTAGCAGGAAGGCACATTTCAGACTAAAGCTGTATGAAACCCAGAGATGAAATCTAAAATTGTGCAAACACAGGGTGGTAGAATTAATCAGTTACAGTATACAGATAAATGTATAAAATATGTTGAGAAGGTGCTGTGATCCAAGGCTACCTCAGGAAAAAACATTCTATAAAAGCAATCTAGAGAATGCTGTTGTTCTATTTACAATGGTCTGTGAGGAAAGAAAGCTGCCAGCAGAGTGATGAACTGTAATAATGGCATCAGCTCTTCTCTCAACCTGTTGCTCACCTTCCTGTTTGCAGGTAACTCCCAGAGCTCGCATGCTGGGCCTGACAGTGAATGGCTGTAGCAGCAGCACCCTACGCTGACCTGGAAATGGTTTGGCAGTGAGCATCAGGTTGCTTAGTAACAGCCTTCCTCCACTTGTGTTGTTTTTTTTTTTTGTAGGATTGGTATTCTCTCTTCACTTAACTGAAAAGCAAATTGATGATCTGTAGCTCATAGGTCTGAAATGTAAGCAAGACGGAGAAATTCTTTTAGGACCTGTCGCTTGTCTTAGTTTGATATCCTGGCATGGTGCTTTGAGGCCACGCAGAGCTTCAGAAGCTTTTGGTTTTGGCCTGCTCTTGGTTTGCTTGGAAGCAGTGGGTAAGGCCCTGTGGAATGGGGTGCTGCTGGGGGTCCTTGCCATGCGATGGAGTGTGTTCAGCCTTGCTCTCCCTGGGGCTGGAGATGCTGTGACTGGTGAGAGCACTGTGCTCGTTGGTGGGCCTGGAGAGAAGTGACACTGAGGTTCTGTATAGCAGAGGATGTGGCTCCCATAGCCTTCCGTGCTCATTCTTTGCTTTTATAAAACTGTTGAGCAGCTATCACATGTTTCAGTGCTGCTCCTGATCTCTTTGAAATTTCTTATGGTCTTGTCTGTGTAGAGTTGTCTTCCATTGTTAGACTGGGGGCCTCTCTTATGTTACTAACTCTTCTCTTGTATCCTGAGTGTTGGTGGCTTTGCTGTTTTGATTTAGATCTTCAGTCCACACTGATTTCCTTGTTGGCTTCACGGAGCAGTGCAAGAAAGAAGCAGCAGCCTATGGGGGAATTCCACTGGTGAAGGTTATTGAGGTTTTTCTTTGCACTTCTGACTTCAGAAAGTGAAAACAGAAGTTGAAATTTAGAATGCTGCTTCCAAAATCTAATTGATCACTAAGTGGCACAGAAAGATCAGGTCATTTGATGTTTGGGTTTCACCTCACTGTCATTGCTTTATCTTCAGTCTTATCCCTCAAACAGGAAAAAAGAGAGCTAAATACGCTGATTCCTGACCAGGCTACAGAGTCGTGCCTTAAGCTGAATAATCAAGCTATAAAATTAATTACTATTTGTTCTATATCTTTTATGCAACGTACTGCAATGTTATATCAATATACTGTGATATAGTCAGGGGCCTGGCATTACATAAGAAACCTTAGTCATTTGTACAGCTAGCAAGTTAAATTTACAATTCATTTTGTAAATCAGTTTTTGAAAACCCATCTGATAATGCTGCAGGGTAATTTTCAAAGGTGAGTCAGAACTGTGGGAATTCTTATGTTTGCAAGCTTTTCGTTTGGACATCATTGATTTTAAAGCATTGGTAATTAATAAGATTTATGAGCAGCATTGCAAGGCCAGTGAGCTATAACTGGATTTCCTAACTGAATGGCAGATAGCTTATTGAGACTAATGGCTGGGGAATAATATGTATGTGCTGTTCATGCACAAATAACAGGCAGAGTGAGGATGAGGTCAGCAGTGCTGTAGTAGAACCCCAGCTAAGCAGTCAGCATGGAGATGCAGTGTTCAGGGAGGTGACAGCTGTCTCTAAACTGCACCCTGGGGCTTTCTAGGGAGTGAGGAGTTGTGTGGCAGTCGCAGTGTTTGTCCTCACTCAGGTGTTTGTGTTGTTTAGCTTGTTTAACTGTTGTGTGTGCCTGAGTTCAAAGTTATGTCAACTTGGAAATGTGAACTTCCTCTGCTCTTAAAATGTAACTGGAAAGTTCTGGTAAGCAAAGACAGCTAAGAAACCAGCTGTTATTTTGACATTAAATGAAACTCTGTGATTTCATACTGGTGGCAGCTGTTTCCGGTACCTGTATGCAAAATATGTCTGTCTACGTGCTCATCTTCATAGCATGCTTTTGAAAATGTGATGAATCTTGCTGTGGTTTCTGATCTAGAAGCTAAGTACTTTTATTTTTCTAGGCTCTTTTTTTTTTTCCCAAAAAAATAATTTTGGAAATCTGGGAAGTAGTGCAGGGTAGCAAAGAGGAATTGTACACCAAAATTACAGCGAGGATCTCTTTGGATTTCATGCATATAACTGTGTATGTGGATTGTCTCTGACATTCAGACTGTGCTTAGGGGTGGAGTGCAACAGGGTGGCTGGCTAACATAAATGATACAGCCTTGGAAAGTGCTTGGTGTGTGTGTGTACGTTGTGTCTAGCTGTGGCATGGGTTATCTATCCTTCTGCTGGAAGAAATGTTGCCCTTGCAACATTCTTTTTGTGGCAGCAGTATGAACAACCTGCAGCAGCATCCTTCTTGATGGTGCTCTTACTGTACTGGAAAGCTCACAGAACTGTCTGTGTTCCTGTGTTAGACAAATCTGGTGATGCTCTGCTGGTGCTGTTTGCTGTTTTGAGTTGATCACTTCAGGAAAAAATGGAAAAGATTACAGCTTAGTTCAGCTGTAGCACCCAGTAGATACGAAGCACTGTCAAGTTTTATTTTCTTGATGGGTGAATTATTTTATGATAAATTATCCTTCACTCCATGTTCCTGACCAGTTGGTTATGTGAGCTGTATGTGCATGAGAAGCTCTCACTAAAATTAGCTGCAGAACCTTTTGTGGATTAGCTCTGTCACTTGAGAAATAGCATGGGGACTTGAGCTGAACCTGTTTGCATCTGTGCTATAAGATGAGGCTTAAGTCAGTGCCAGTCCTTAAACTGGGTGTAAGGACAGGTTCTGCTGCCACTGCTCCCTGGTGCCCCTGCCAGCTGTGTACAAACACATTGCCTCTGTGGCTGATGGCCTTCTGAGCGCTTC